TGGAGGGAGGAATTGGAGGGAGAAAATGGAGGGAGAAAGCGGAGGGAGGAAATCGCTAACCCCTATCCACCAAGCTGTAAATTATGTAGGCAGATTTATTCCTGTCTTGAATGATAGTTGAGGTATCTAGGTAAGATGAAATTTCTTTTAGATTTCGTATAGTAAGTTTTTTTCATCCGTGAGCAGCCTAGACCAGCTTAGGATATTCTCGTAAATGATTAAAAATATTCAACAATCTACTCTCTTCAAAAGTGGGATTAAAAATTGACCAAGACGAGGCCAGTGCTTCAGCTAGTCGTACCATGCATTTTTCATGCACTGTATAGTTCAAATCACGTATGCATCTCTTAAGCAGATTACTTAGGAAGAGAATGTAGGCTCCCCATAGCCCTGACAATGCTCAAGGGCGAATATCATAACCTATTTCTTCTGTGGATCGCTAAGATGGAGACCTATGCATTGCAGACGTAAAATATTATAAGATGGCACTCGTTATCACCGAGATATCCACCTCAGAGGATATCGTAGCTTATAGCGAGGTATCTTATGGCAAGAAGACGCTTGAATGAGTCGCCAAGGGTTGCCCTGTAACCTGCATTTCTCTCTTTTGTCAATAAGAAGAAAGCTCTCCGATCTGTTTCTCCCTGGATTTGGTCAAGCCCTGTGAGCACGGCGCTTTGGTCATTCTCGAGAAATGTCTCCAATTCGTTCAACTTCTCCATTGTTTCCTCCAGTAAGTCCCTTGCTGTGACAGATCGCTTGGCTTTACATCGTTCTGTTGCCATTTCCAGTAAGCTTAGAACTGGCAGCGTATGACGAGTGAAGACTGCTGGGAAGGGAGCGCGAGTAGGAAGACGGATGTAACAGCAAAAGATGGGCAGTGAGAACAAGGAACAGCGAAATGTGACCAGTACGTGCCGTACGCGAAGCCTTCTAAGATACCGTAACTATGGTGAGACTTCGTCTCTAACCTGCGGTGTCTGTGGGGTTCGATCTTTGTTATTGGTCTTTGTCCGTCAACTTTCTCGAGTAGGAAAGGTCTTCCTACATATACTTGGGCCAGTGATGTTGCAATTGGTCCAGCACTTGTTCACGATGAAAGAATATGTTGGCTTGCAACCATAATGATTAATTTCATGAACTCAAATTAGAAATCGTACAAAGCCAACTAAACTATAAAGAGCCAAGTGTGTCCAGGCTTAAAGGCTATGGGAGGCTACGATCTTGCGTGAATTCCAGGTTCGCTCAATCTCTACCCTCGTTATTTCACACATTGTTCTTGTAACGTGTGACACTTTCATCAGCCACAAGCGACCGGGGTACGCTTCAATGGATCCAAATAAGATACCCTGGCCGAACCACATCCGAGAGTATCGGTCAACTTACGAGCAGAACTCGGAGACATGCCGAAGTGACCCAGAAAAATACATAGCCTCGTCATTCTATTATCACACACGAATTCGCTTATACGATGCACGGGAACCTGTGTTTCCAGTAGCACTCGAGGGTGATGTTAAAGATTTCCGGGAATACGAACGGTTGTACCTCCATTCGAAATGTCGAGCCCCTTTGATAATGATCAAGGAACGGCAGGGTGAGGAAAAAGTCCAATTCGAAGTCTGGCTTTCTCTTAGAGAATTGGAAAGCGTTCTGAAAGACAGCAAACAAATTGGGTGTACTTTTCGACTGGTGGGAAACCGACTCAAGAAAGGGGATCCTCTTCTCGATGCTCATGATTGGGAATCTGCCAAAGAGACCATCAAAACATCCTATCTCAGTTACCTGAATCGCACGTTAGTATGTCCAATGCGGTTCGACATGATAAACTACTTAAAGACTCTTGGAATTGAGATTAAGGCGGACCCTGTACACCGTGTCGATTTATGGCTCTGACTGCCCGGAAGGTTGTGGGCAGATGAGGCCGGGCTAGTGATCTTTGTTTATATTAAAGAGCCATACTCACATGTTCGTGGCTCAAGGCTCTCGGATTTTCTGTTTGGGGCTCATTTGTACTTCATACCTAATGCTCAACGGCTAATCAATGCATTTTGACCTTGTGGTGAGGCCGAAGTCCATCCGGTTCCAGTGTAATCTGTCCGTGAGCAATCCACGGCCTAGAGATTGAAATAACGGTGAGATATTTACCATCGTCTTGACTATCTCCAGGATTTCAATCTTCATACCGGGACGCTATTCTCAATTAGATGTGATTGATGGCCACGTAACTAGACTGTGCAAGCAGATGTGATAGGATGTCAATCAAGTGTACTTGACATATTTGAACCTGCGATACGCGCAAAAGTATCTGATCACCCCGAATAGGCGAGCCAGATCCTTGCTCGCCAATGCTTTTGCTTGGTATATTTCAAAGCGGGGTTATGACCAGGTGGATCATAGCAGCAATAGGTGAAAGTCATCCCCGAGCGGACATCACATAACAGTGGTAAGAAACCATCGAGAAGCCAGAACCTGGTAGATTCGAAGCTAAGGTCTCAACTTGCGCTCGGTTTGTCTAAAATACAGATATTTGGATTGACATGTAGATCGGGAACAGGCACAAGTCCGAGCTGCGAGTGGCTTGCACGCGGTCTGGTCCACATCACTAAACTTTTAGTGACGAAATGGCAATGTAGTATGCTCAAACACATCTCTATAAGAGGTTCTGAAACTCCTTAGCATAGAGATCCCAAGCTCTGACCTTCGTCCTTGTCCTGATTCCCAGAACTATTCTCCACTTCGTGATTATGCAGCTCAGACAGAGATGTTCGCAACTATGGCACAGTTTCGCCTTAGCATTCTGTTGTAAGGCAGAAGGGGATGAAGACGATAGATCGGAGTCTATTGAATCCATACGGTCGCCTTTCGGGAGAGAAATCGCTTCTTTCACCGCTGAGAATATCAAGACATCAACGTGGGTTCCAAGCTGAGAATGCCCTGAAAATCAAGATAACTGAGTCTTCCTTACTCCAGGCCTTCTTTTCTTCATTCCTCCCCTTCATCCGTTACCCTTACCGAGCAAAGTCAACGGACGCAGCAGGCTTCAGAGACACTTTATTCTCTTCGAACACCTGTCATCAATCACTGGGAGATCGTTGAACAAGAAATCTTCCAGGGAACGGAACTCTACCATCTTCGTCGCGTTCTGAAAAGGAATGAAGGAGGATATGTCATATCTTGGGTTGAAAATTTGTGTTGGACGAGAGACGACCTGGAACAGGGTGATCAAGGACCCAGGCTTCCGGCGAGATGGAACGAACCACGACACCCACCTCAACAGTCCCGAACTTCTGTATCCACTATTAACCTGGACGAAGCACTAGAAAGTGCAGCATGTTAATCTAACTTTGAGAGATTGATTATATGATAGTTACGCTCGCCATGCGTGTCAGCAAGCACATGTAGCCCGGCGTTCAAGACATACCAGAGGATGGAAAGGCACTGCAATAGATCTCAGACCTCCCGTAGCTCTCCAGAGTTTCCGCGCCCAATGCCTGTTCTCGACAGGTTGCAACCAGGCCACAAAGAAACGTATCCGTGTCGAAAGCGTTGCATGCCAATTTGATTTGCCAGCCACGGGCGAGCAAAGCATACTACTGTGTATTCTGTCACTGTGACCATTGCGCTCCTTTAGTGCCTAGTTGATGGCTAATCCATTGCTGTCTGGCCAGCGGCAATGATCCCCTCCCCGGCTAAAGCAGAGAACTCATGGTCTAGCTTCTCATCCACCCAGGAAGTTAATCATCTTCAACGAAATAATTCCTCTCCTCCCATATTCTTCTCTGAAGATTTTAATAACCCCAGAATACGGGAGCCCCTCAGGTCAGGATGAACAAGCCGGTGAGTTTACGTCTGCGATAGCCTGTTGCAAGAACGAAGTCCCGATCTAACTGCAAAGGAAGACTCAAGAAGTTCAAGTTACGGGCACCGCAGAGTGCGCTCAAACATCGAATCTCTACTATTGGTTACGTGAGGCCAGTGAAGAGGTTCATCGGCTTATTGATATCGGGGAATTCTACGACGCCGCAGATCTCCTGAAAAAGATCATGGTTGCCTCGAAACTCCGAAGAATCCATAACTCATACTACTCTGATCTTGCTGATCTTGCTTCCACCCGACAACGAGATGATGATGAAGGGGCTGTACCCGATGGCTTGCGGGTGTTGGACTTTTGGAACGCACTGAACGAGTGCTGGTTTGCCTTCCAAGACGTTCCAGATAAAGAACTACTCCACGACTTGTGCAGACACCTGGTGGAACTATGTGTCAATCTGGAAGCTGATGAATTGGTTGATCACGAGATGGGAATCCTCAAGGAGAGCATCATGAGGTGTTTCATCCGCAGGATTGATGAATGTATGTGGGTTTACGTCTGCGATTCTAATCACTCCTTTGCTGATCAGAAGATTAATAAGTAAGCCGTATCGAAAAGGAGTACAAGAGGCACTTGCACTTTTTGTTTCAGGCCGCCTATTATCCGGCAACGCTAGAGAAGTGAGCGAATGTGCTTATCCAGGGCCAGGAAAACAGACTGACCAGAGTCTCAATCAGACTCAGGCGATGTAGTAATTCTGGCATCTGGCCTGCATGGTATCATAACACGAAGTAATTTGCTTGTCATCTACTGCCCCGACAACTGATGTATGTATACACAAGACTAGTCTTGCCTTCCTCGAACTGGGCTGTCAATTCGTCTCACGCGTTCTCAAAAGATGTCTGACAGTCTTAGCGATTCTCTGCTGGCCGTTTGGTCGACGTGAATTTCAGATTTGGCTGGAACCCTACGTAAAGGTCAATGCGTAGGTCTTGTATCTGGAGGTAATTATACATCAACTAGCACGCTGAATGGGTATGTAACAGGGTATTTCGTCTTGCATAGACCTTACCCGCGGCCATTGGTACTGTAAATAAAATTATCAATTCGATCCGGATATCTCACCGTCCCAACCATGTGAAAGTTGAGATCATGGGAAAGTAGGCGGTAATGATGGTTACAATACGACAGCCGTCAGACTGATGTATAACCGTCTCTTACATCCGCCATGCGTTCTCTTGGAGGACCTTTGCGATCGCCGAGACCTGTTATACAAGGTCCAGTCTCCGACTCACGCTAACGCGTTGTGGTGGGAGCCATAAGTAGGATGACCATCTGTCTTTCTGCCTAGCCACTTACTTTCATACTAGCTATTTTTAGACCAAAGGCCAGCCCACTTCTTGCATTCTACTGTACAGCGACCCTAATTTATCATGATGTCTGACACCCCGATTCAATTTGAGCTCATGGAAGAAGTGAACCAGACGGCGGGGAATTAAGGTTCAGATGTCTATCTTGCCAATGACAAAGATGATGGCGCCAATTTTCCAATAAGAAAATCCATCATAGCTCAACTGGACTTCTGGTCAGCTTCTCCCATAGAGAAAAAGAACCGAGCAGTACTTATGCGAATGGCCAAAAGCCCATAATCCAAGTACCTGACCTTACATCATTGGTCTTCCCACATTCATAAAGTAATTAGATTCGTCTTTTACGTTGAGAACAGTCTTCGGACTAGGATCTGTCTACGGTCGGCTCTTTCAGAAACAATCAAAAACATACCCCGCATTTGCTTGAGATGAGATCGTCGGTCTTCGACGACCATGAACTCCGTTACCCGAACAAGAGATTCAGAAAACCAAGTCATTTAGTTTTTGTTATTATGCCCAATGTCCTGACTCGGGGTACCCGCTGTAGTAAGCCAGTGAAATGAACTTCGAATTACCTGTCAAGACGATCCAACCTGAGCCAATTCGTGGCCTTCACGCAACGACTAATAGTCAATGTATCGTCTATCAGTGAATCAAGATACATTTTCTGATCATCTGTGCGTGTTCGACTCTAAATCGACACTAAGATGTTTTTCTGTATAGATGTGTGTTTTCCGTTGTGTCTTAAGCTGGCAGTGTGAAAGCATTCGTTTGTCTCAGTCTTGCATAAAGGCATATCTTAGACTGGCTAATTGGTCGCCACGTTACAATTTCACCTCACAAATACCGTGAAAATTTGCATTACGGAGTAGACATTTCATTCTCTGTGAGGCTGCGCTGCCTTTCTGGCAAGTTCTGGCTTAACGTTTTTGCGTCTAACATTATCTTTTTGTGCCCGAAGCAGGTTCTCAAAAATGTCGTCTAAACCGTTCTAGATGAAAGATTCGGCGCTCTATTATCTCAACATGGATGGTGACAGTCATTGGGGTCTGGACTACAAGGTTATACGAGTTTGAAACAAGGGTTCAGTTCCTGGGACCGAACTAACATTTGAGGATTATCCATGGCAGTCTTTGATGGGAAGTCAGGCTCGAGAAATCAGGGTTATAGACGATTAGCTGAAATTACTTCATAATCTGTTGAAGCCAAAGACAAATGGAACTAGGTGGTGAATGGGTCAGTTGTTCAAGCAGACTTGACCAGCCATTCGCAATTCCTAGCGGGTTTCCGCCGGATCAACCTTGGGGATCCCAGCTTGAAAGTGGTACCATGACACTCACTACGCAGATCCCAGAGTTTGTCTCTAACCTCAGATTCAGGGGTAGTGTGGTTTACGTCTGCCAACGCCACCAAGAGGCCAGGGTGCTTTTCTGTGACATGCTCTGTCACCTTAAATGAATAAGAGAGCCTACATGCTTCTATACTATCTTTCATTAGTTCTGCTGCATTGCCTTCCCGTCACCTTGCACCCGCATATTACGCAAGGTGAGTAATATGCATACATCCTTATACGGAAACCGAAGTGGGTTAACACGATTGTATCTAATCAAGAAATGCCCACCTCGTGTCCATCACGCCGTCAACGGGGAGCCTACGATACTACAGGTGTCAAGAAACCAGGGGCACCATCACCAGCACCACCACCGAAATGAAACCACCACCACCAAAAGAGAAATGTGCCTTCGAGATCAGCAGGGATGGGAGATAGGAACTGATTCTGATATTAAATAGCTGTGATCATGGTTTGGGCTATTCGTTATTAGACTATGTTCTGTGGAGAGGGCCGTGTACGTCTAGCGCGATATTATCTCAGTGCTGTTGCTGGTTGTTCTCGCGCAGAGGAAAGTTCAGAAAAATGAGTTACGCTCTTTTGAGCAAGCAAACGACTATGACTAGCCTCTCTCAGATGGTGGAAGTTATTAGAGAATGCCGCCAATCAACCGTGTAAGGTACGGAGACTTCGCGTATAACGTGCGAATGGGTTCTTTGGGGTCTAGAACATCTCGACACCCGATGCCTTCTCTGTGTTAAGAGCTTAATACTTGGTTCGTCGAGTTCCTGCAGCACCTTGTGATTCTTTTGCTTGGCGCTTCAGATGATACAAGAGTTTTGTAAGTGCTATATCTAGCAATTATTCCGTTCAACCTGTCTTTTAGAAGACAAGCTGTCTACAAATCCCTCCTTTTGCTACATTTTGCTCTCCCTGGGCATTTCTCCGTATCCAAGTCTTCCCCAACCAACTTCTCTTAGCCTCTTTTGCAATCTTTGACGGCCTCATTACTCCGTGACGAATTGTTCACACAATGACGGGATGTACCGAAACACTTTCTGAAGCAGTTCCGACTGAGCCAGGTTAGTGCTACGTGGTTGCTTTTCTGTTTAACATGCTCAATGGTTCACAACTAGTGTCCGAGACTGAAGACATCAAAAACAACTATTGTTACTTGGGTCCCAAGAGGAAGCATGAAGGTGAAGGGTTTCTTCGCGATACCAGGACCAGGGTCGGCAAGTCGAGCTTTGCTGACACAGACGAAGAGGTGTCAGTGGGTTCTGAACAAGTAATCATTGTTATGTTCATCAACCGCTGGCGTTAGTAAACTGACATTCTTTCAGAGCTCCTACCCATCTTCAGCTTTCTCCAACGCTGTCTCTTCGCACTTCAATTTTCGTGCGTCGGTCGTGGGGTTTTACCCTTCACGCCTTGTTCTGCTCAGGAACCCTTCGGTCCAGCTCATACCCGAACCAATCGATTTGAAGAGGATCGCTCCAGAAACCGCATCAGGCGAAGACGAAAAGCTACCGTTGCTATCACAGGCGAGACGTGAAGAATTGATATCATACTTCGTGAATTGTGCGATCGAAATGACCTGTCAAGAAAGGGAACCGGAATACATCACGGGGTTGTGGCTTTCTGACTTTTTGTGCTTTATCGACACTTGGAACCCAGAAACAAAGGTTCGGAGCACCGTGAAATCACGGATGCTACTGTGTTTCAACTGGATGTATGATCTGATGTCGCTGGATGCACGTAACAGAATTGTCAACCAACCACGTGGCACATCCAGCAGGAACGTCCAGTTGTCTGCTCTTTATACGAAATTAGGGGTATTTTCACTGCAATGGACCTTTGGACAGGACAAGAAAAAATATTCGACCGATTTCTATCTCGTGAGGGACCTTGACTTCGATTTCATCATCGGCTGGCCTTCGATGCGGAGACTGGAGCTGTACAGAGGAAATCCTCTAATCGCGTGGAGGCTAAGCCCAACTCGTCAACCCAGTGTGAATTAGATCTTGAGATTTAGTTTACTACCTAGCACAAATACTTCTATTGTTGCTTGTACTTCGTAGACCCGGGTCGCACGACAACTCAGTATCTTCAAGAAGTGTCATTGCATCAATTGGAGAGGGTGAGGAATGAACAATAAATTTGCCTAACCAGTTGTTCTGTCTTCAGCTCTGCCTTAACGCGGCTACCGCAGTGAAGCTATGATTCTTTTCATCGTATATCTCCCTAAGCAATAAAATTTTGACAGGCATGTCAGTCCATCAGCTGTCAGGCGTGATGCAGCTTTCTTATTGTGGAGGACCTTGGCAATAACATGAGACCAGTACACTAGCTTGCTTTACCGTACGACTGACAGACACAGATATTGGTCTCAGGCTGCATGACAGACTCGACAAGCATGGTGTTGGAGTATGCCTCTAGACTACGCCTGAATAGCTCAAGCGACTCTCATCCCCAGCTGGAAGTTTGTGGCTTTCCTAGTAGCGGCTTTTATGTCTATCGTAATCTCCTGTGCTCACATGCCACGTCATATCCAGGATATGATCTACTCGCCTTGGTCAAGGAAAGAAAGAAGCCCAGTCTTATCGCCTTAGGATTCGCAGTGGCTAGGTAACTACCAAGTGCGAGACTGTCCTTCATGATTCATCGTCACAATTCTTGCAATCTGAACTTTCTGCCATAGAAGATTGGGATAAATTCTCTGTCAGTGCACGGTGAAGATTCTCATATTTGCACGTGTTGATGGTCTCGCTGTCTTAGGGTCTTTCGTCAGCCAGCACAGAACTATCTCTGATCATACAGAAAACGCAGTATCAGACTCAAGAATCCAGTAAGTTCTCGGCTCGATTATTCCCCCTCACTTTATTGACATTTATCTGTTCGGTGCAATAACTCAATACTCAAGGATAGAAGCTCGAAAACTCTTCAAATAGTTAGTATCTAAATCAAGTATGTCAATTCAGTGTATGTTACTTTGATCGTTGAGAACTCATCCTCACTGGAACCAGAAAGTCAAAACATGGGCGAGAATTTGCATGCGCCCAACCGACCTTATCTTTGTTCTCACTGTGACTCAAGCTTCCAAATTTTCTCAAAAGCAGAAAGACATACTGGCAAGCATCATCCGAACTTGCCTTCACTAACTCAAATAGGTGGATCTCGCAGGTAATACTCATATCTCACATTACATGACACGAATCGCTGACCGGAAGGCTTGAAAAGCTGCAAACTGGGGGAATGTGGGTGCGGTCGACTTTTCAATAATAGCTCAGAGCTTCGCAAACACGTTTTACAATCTTGCAGGAAGATAGCAGAGCCTAGTGAGTATATCGAAAACCCCGTCAAGCGGAAGAACTAACAATTTCTAGCTCACGAACTCAAGAAAGCCCAAACGCATCTCCGTGAAACAGAGAGCGGAACATTACTGGAAGAGAGGCAATCCGTACCATCCCTTGAATGGCTTTCGGGTCTTCGAAAGAAGAATTGCATGATTCCTATAGCCTCACTGCTTGAACCCTACACGATGCATCTGACTTGGTGGCTAGATTCCGAAGAAAATAGGCCTTTGTAAGTATTTTCGAGCTTTGATACACAGCACCTGTTAAAGCTAACTGAGACCACAGTTATTCTCAATGCGCTGTTGTTACACTACACTCGCAATCTAACCAGAACCTGAGATCATTTCGAATAGTGAACGGTGTCCTTCCTCATGCTTTGATGGATGAAAAAGGCCTACATACTATCGGGGAGAGCTGCACTGTTGGGAAGGTATACATCTTTCCATTAGCAAGTCACCGTCTGTGAGTGAACATATCGATCATATAGGGATCAACACTGATGAGGCTAGGAACTTGAAGATTCGCAAGATTTCTCCAAGTGGCTGAGTGGCCAGCGACATCAGCTCATATTGTAATAGTGTTGATAATCAAACTCTTCTTACTACGAAACTAGATCGACATGAGACCATCTGACAGGCCAGCTCATAGTCTTGCTTTGGGGATGCAGAGCGGTGGTGATTCGATTTGTGGTCACAACACAACTTGACATCATCTTTCAGTGTCGGGGGAATTTCCTTCTACCACTGGTCTTCCGCCTCAACTCAGTTAAATTGTAAGCAAGCGATGCGTTCATCAGGATGCCTATAACTTGTTATCTCTTCTTAGATAGGCCGCGTGACGAAACTGTCTCTAGTCGTCCCTTATGATATCAGAAGCCGAGATTGTGAATGCCAGCTTTACCCAACGCAAGAGTTGCGAAGTGGGTACTTCCGCTATATATTGTGCCCTCAGATTTGTCCACCACTTGGTATGGAATCGGCCCGTGACGGACAAATAATAGCAAAGGGATAGCGGAGGCGTAAATGAAGGGTAATAGGCACTCTCAAGTGGGATAGTGGGTGAAATATGGCCTGAAGCAAACATGCGAGCCGAAACACAACATTCTATTCCTGATAGTCTAGGAACAAGGATATTCAAAGGTAAGTGGTTGTTTCATGTCAGCTGGTTCATGAAAATACAGATGGTGAATGCGAAATCTTGAATATTCATTGATTCTGTGATGCTTCGTGAGCATTAAAGCTGGGAGACTAGAACTTTTGATCGGTGGCGGATGGATGGATGGTCTTCACAGTTTGGAGTCCACAGCAGCCGAAAGGCAGTAACGAGCCCAGGGAGGTGCTGTAGCTGGTTGCAAGCAAAATCGACTTACTATAGGCGTTCAGGACCCCGTTCGCATAATAAATCATAAGCTACGAGCGGGCATCGGCTGCTAAGGTGATTAGGGGGGTCGCAAAATGACGCTCACATGCTAGTGTCCTCGACGAGAAAAGTCGTATGTCACCTTCATTGACCAGTGTACTACTGAATAGCCTGCCAGCTGAATTGCCCTCACTAGTGCTTCCAGCAATTCGTGATTACGTGGCATTCTGAGAATAGCATAGTGTCATGTTCCTTTTCACATATAAGAGGCCAACATTGAAGCTGCATCTGAAGCTCCTCCATCGGCTTAAACCAGCCTCGAAACCTTTCTGAATCTATTCACACAATTCCTGACTGCTCCCGAAGTCCAGCCTTGGCTATATATAAGCTGCTTCTCGAATTTACCCTGATAGAATGTTACTCAATCGTCTACCCCAGGAGCTGGTCCTTATGGTTGCCGAGTACCTCGAAACCGAGCGTGATTTCAATTCACTGGTCCGAACCTCGAAGGAATCACACGACATCCTCAATCATCACCTTTACCGGCACAACTCAAAACATCACAACAGTTCAGCTTTACACTGGGCTGCTGAACACGGAAACGAGGCTACTACTCGGAGGTGCATCGAGGAAGGGGCAAACGTGGAAGCGGAAAATCTCAAAGGGGAAACGCCCTTATTTGTGGCAGCGACACATGGACATTTGGAGGTTGTGAAAATTTTACTCGAGGCGGAGGCAAATCCCAATCGGAAATCCAAGCCTTTCGAGCAAACGCCTCTCCTCACGGCCGTGATTAATGGAAGGATGGGGGTCGTGGAGCTATTGCTCGGAAACTTGGAGGTTGACGTGAACTCGGGAGATTTCCGCAAGAGAACACCACTGCACGAAGCTGCAAGGGTGGGAGATACCGAAGCTCTAAGGCGACTCCTGCAAGATGAGAGAGTGAACCCAAATACGAAAGATTCTGCAGACTCTACACCCCTCCATTTGGCAGTACATTCTTGGAATACAGAAGCGGTAAAATCACTTCTTAAGGCGGCGAGGGTGGATGTGAATTCGGGCGGCGACGCAAAAAATGAGACACCATTGCCTCTTGCCATGCGAGTATCTCGGATGGGTGTCATAGCATGTTTACTTGAAGACGAACGAGTGAACGTAAATTCACAGAGCTCCACTAATCAAACGCCTCTTCACCTGGCTGCGCCACGGGGAACACCGCAACTCGTGAAACTTCTCCTCGACCACCACCGAATCGATGTGAACTTGAGAGATAACAAAGGTGAGACACCGTTACATTCAGCAATCCGTTGGAGCCGCACAGCAGCCGTGAGACTTTTCCTCGACCACCACCAAACCGATGTGAACTTGACAGATAGCAGTGGCGAGACACCGTTACATTCAGCAATCCGTCGCAACCACACAGCAGTTGTGGAAATGCTTCTTAGGGACAGAAGGGTGAATGCGGATAGTGAGAACTTGGAAGGATGTTCTGCTTTGGAAGCGGCTACAGATCAGGGCGTGGGAATGTTGCGACTTTTTCTTGGCAGTGCAAGGATGAAAGTGGACATGAACACAATGGCTTTTTCTGACTCTTTGCGGACTGCTGTAACGCGGCGTGACTTGTCAGCTGTGTGGTTACTTATCGAGGCCGCAAAGACAAGTTGTACTTGAGGCGGAACTATTCTGACCCCAAGTCATGTACTTCCCGAGTGCCCTCGATACACGGCCCCGCGCGCTGAGATGTTCCGAAAGCTGGAAGCCACAACAGAAGCGTTGGGGAACAGTCTGGCAGATCATGATACCTTGGTGTCTGACTCACAGGCAACTCTTCTCATCGCTGAGCTTATGATACGTACCGGTGTGCTCGAAAGATTCTTGAAACAGGAAGCGCTGTGATCAGAGTCCACTTAGTCGGGGCGACTCTTCGCCTCTTTCACTTCCAACTCTATGATCTCAAGGAAGCAAGAGTAGAAATATGTACTCTATCATTGTGCACTATTGTCAGAAAATACAGTGGTTTCGCAAGCTCACCGTTCCTTGGGCCTTAGGATGTCGCTGTTAGTAGTACTCGAAGATATCACATTCGGCTAATCCGTGGATTACGTTTTGGTAGGATAGAGGTATACGAATTCAGCGGTCCAAGTGCTTGCTCGAATCTACCTTCAAGCTTCGTGTTCATCTTGTAGTATAACCTTGTTTTCTATAGTATATACGTCTAGAAAAATGTAAATGCTGATGTTCTGGACGCTTTCCTTGCTTCACATACAAAGCAACTACATAGTCGACTTTCGAGCTTCATGGGCTCGAAATGGTCATGAGCTGTATTGCTTTCGTGATGCAGAGCGGTGGTGATTCGATCTGTCGTCACTGCACAGCTTGACATCATCTTTCAGCGTCGGGGGATTTTCCCTCCACCACTGGTCTTCTGCCTCAACTCAGTTAGGTTGTAAGTAAGCGATGGGTTCATCAAAATGCCTGACTTGTTATCTCATCATAAATAGACCGCGTGACGAAACTGTCGCTAGTCGTTCCTTATGATATCAGAAGCCAGAATTGTGAATGCCAGCTTTACCCAACGCGAAAGTTGCGAAGTGGGTGCTTCCGCCATACGTTGCGAGTCCAGATTTGTCCATCACTTGGTGTTGAATCGGCCCATGACGGACGGATAGTAGCGGAAGGATAGCGAGGGCGTAAATGAGGGGCAATAGGCACCTTTCAAGTGGGATAGTGGGTGAAACATGGCCTGAGGCAAACATGCGAGCCGAAACAAAATGAAATTCCATTCCTGACATTCTAGGAGTAAGGATAATCAAAGCTAAGCGGTTGTTTTATGTCAGCCGGTTCGTGAATTAACTACCGATGGTGGATGCGAATTCTCAAAGGTTCATTAATCATGTAATGCTTCATGAGCAATTGGTCTTGGAGACTAGAACTCTTGACCGGTGGCGGGTGGATGGATAGACTTCACCATTTACAGTTCTCAACAGCCGAAAGGCAGCGGAGAGCCCAGGGAGGTACTGTATCTGATTGCAAGCAAAATCGACTCACCATAGGCGTTCAGGCCCCGATCGCATAACCGATCATAAGTCACGAGCGGGAATAGGCTGTTAAGGTCATTGGGTGTTTAAACAAAATGACGCTCACATGCTAGTGTCCTCCTGACGAAGTCGTATGTCACATTCAAAGAGTGCATTACTGAATTGCCTGCCAGCTGAACTGCCCACACTAGTGCTTTCGGAAAATCATGATCACGTGGCATTCTCAGAACAGTATAGTGTCATAATCTCCCATTTAAGCGGCCAACATGAAAGCTGCCTCCGATGTCTCTCGGCCGGCTTAAACCAGCCTCGAAACTTTTCTGAATCTACCCAAACAATTCCTGACTGCTTTCGAAGTCCAGTCTTGACCATATATAAGCTGCTTCTCGAATTTACCCTGATAGAATGTTACTCAATCGTCTACCCCAGGAGCTGGTCCTTATGGTTGCCGAGTACTTCGAGACTGAGCGTGATTTCAATTCACTGGTCCGAACCTCGAAGGAATCACGTGACATCCTCAATCATCACCTTTACCGGCACAACTCAAAACATCACAACAGTTCAGCTTTACACTGGGCTGCTGAACACGGGAACCAGGCTACTACTCGGAGGTGCATCGAGGAAGGGGCAAACGTGGAAGCGGAAAATCTCAAAGGGGAAACGCCCTTATTTGTGGCAGCGACACATGGACATTTGGAGGTTGTGAAAATTTTACTCGAGGCGAAGGCAAATCCCAATCGGAAAACCAAGCCTTTCCAGCAAACGCCTCTCCTCACGGCCGTGATTAATGGAAGGATGGGGGTCGTGGTGCTATTGCTCGGAAACTTGGAGGTTGACGTGAACTCGGGAGATTCCCGCAAGAGAACACCACTGCACGAAGCTGCAAGGGCGAGAGATACTGAAGCTCTAAGGCGACTCCTGCAAGATGAGAGAGTGAACCCAAATGCGAAAGATTCTGCGGACTGTATACCCCTTCATTTGGCAGCACGTGTTGGAAATACAGAAGCGGTAAAATCACTTCTTAGGGCGGCGAAGGTGGAAGTGAACTCGGCTGGCAGCGGAAAAAATGAGACACCATTGCATCTAGCCGTGCAAAAATCTCAAGAGGATGTAATAGCATGTTTCCTCGACGATGGACGAGTGGACGTGAATGTACAGAGCTCCAGTAATCGGACACCTCTTCACCTGGCTGCGCGACGGGGAATATCGGGAATCGTGAAACTTCTCCTCAACCATCATCGAACCGATGTGAACTTGACAGATAACAAAGGTGAGACACCGTTACATTCGGCAATCCGTCGGAACCACACAGCAGTCGTGGAAATGCTTCTTAGGGACAGAAGGGTAAATGCGGATAGTAAGGACTTGAGAGGATGTTCCACGTTGCAAGCGGCTACAGATCAGGGCTTGGAAATGTTGCGACTTTTCCTCGGCGGGATGGGAGTGGACAGAGAATCAACGGTTTTCCATCATTGTTTGCAGACTGCTATCAAGCGGGGTCTTAGGTCAATTGTGCTGTTACTTATTGAGGCACAACCAAGGTGCACTTGCGACGAACCTATGCTGTCCCTGCGCCATGTACTTCTCGAGTGCCCTCGGTACACGGGCCCGCGCGCTGAGTTGTTCCGAAAGTTGGAAGCCACAACAGGAGCGTTGGAGAACAGTCTGGCAGACTATGATACCTTGTTGTCTGACCCACAGGCAGCTCATCTCATCGCTGAGTTTTTAATACGTACCGTGTGCTCGAGAAATTCTTAAAATAGGAGAAGCTATCATCAGAGTCCACTTAGTCGGGACGTCTCTTCGCCTCTTTCACTTATCACTCTATAATTTCAGGAAAGCATGGAGTAAAAACCATGTACTTTATCATCATGCACCATTGATAGACAACACAATGGTCTTGCAAGCTCACGGTCTTTTGGGCCTTAGGATGCTTTCCTTGCTTCTCATACAGAGCATCTACGTAGTCGACTTTCGAGCTTCACGGGCTCGAAAAGTCAGGGGCTTTATTTGTGAGCACCTAGAACATATACAGTAGTGTCCCTGGAGTTCTAGCTTGATTGTTTCGTGAACCTTCTCGACCTCCCTTGGTTTTTTTGTTGAAATTTTAGTCTGAGCAAAGCGCTTTTCAACATCAAAATTCGAGAGTTACACATACTAAAGTAGAAAGTCGCTTCCGCATGTAGAAATAAACCATCAAAGTCAACTAGGATAAGTGTAGATAAGATATCAAGAAAAGGGGCATGGACTTAATGAAGTGTCTCCAATTCGCTAATGCGTTGTTATAGTTGTGATAGGAGCAGTAATTTGGAAGACTATCTTGTCTCGCTGCTCAGCCGCTTGCGTCCAAACTTGCTATGCTTTACAGCTGACACCGATTTGAGGTCGTCATCCAACACTGACTGCTGCCTAGCCTTAAACTAGCTATTCCGGTCCGTATACGTTTATCATGATGTCGGACCACCCCCTCTAATTAGTGCTTACGGTAGGAAGAGAACCAGACGAAAGAAAAAAATCGTCTGAAGGTCTATCTTGAACCGGGCTTGCTGGCATCAGACACGCAGCGATGGAAGGATGACACTTGGTCGTGGCCGAGCACCGACGGTGATTTGCAAATGGAATGACAGAAGGCTCCTTGAGGATTCCATCGAATTACTGTATATGTATTCAAGAAATCAGTGCCCCATTCCCTTTCGAGCTGAACTTTTAAGTATTGTCAGCCGAACAAGAAGAGAAAGTAACGGATTGGCGTTGCATGATGTCAATTAGTAGAAGATTGTTTGAAACTCATATGACCTATTTCTTTCATCTTCGCTTTCCTAAATGGCGAATATTTCGGTCTTCATAAAAAAGGGTTCGAACGACGCGTTGCTCGCAGTAGAGCGCTACCCAGTAATGTAGATCAGGAGATCAAAGGGCAAACAGCGGCTACGATTGCTCCGTAACTTCCCCAAAATGATGATGCTAGAAAAGTATACCTCAGGTCAGAGGAGTCAAGTCGGCTGGCGAAGACCCCCTTCGGCCCATCACAAAACTCCGAATGTGCACTACAATGCGAAGAGTCCTCGGAACATGATTCAGATCCGACCTACCATGCCCAATTAGCTCGAACAGACGATCGAACCAAATCAGGCCTAGACAACTCAGATGAGATGCATATATTAGGCTTCAGCTCTCAGCTCCGGTGATTGAGTGGTGGTAGGCATTTTTGAATCATTGAATGGAAATCCGGCAGAGACATCTTAGGTATAAGAAGCCGTGTAGACGGGCCGCGGATCGTGCTTCCTTCTGTATTCTGCCATTCTTTGAACTCAACACTCACTTGTGATACTTATTGAGCGCTCCAGCTTTTCTATCCCCGTGGAGAGTCTAGTCTCATAGTTCTTATTGCCGAGATTGCTAATCGGGCCCAGAAACGGCTCGAGCGCACAACCCACACTGTCCTGTTAAAGTATTCAAAATACCCATCGCGTCACGCAATTTCCTTCAACAAGCGCCAAAATGCGGACCATAGTCAATATGCTTGGGTAATTGAGAGATAAATGTTTGAAGCTAACAGGCGTGAGGCGTCAGGAGAAAATAGTTAGTGTTGTGCCGTCTGTGGTCAAAAAGTCAATAATCGTAAAATAGATTCAAGCTCGGATAATCGGCCTCGAGAGAGGTCCGAACGATCACATTGTGACATTAATGCATTCTATTCTCAGCTATGGCTATGAGTGTCGTTGTTGGCGCGAGGTTGTGGAAATCCGAGCAGCTTCAGCGATTTCCAGCCCTTGAGCTTGAACGCCTTGAAACGATAGAAAACATATCTCGACAGTTAAGTAGGAAGAGATCGGTCGTTTTCGACGAGCATGAACTAAGGTTCTTAACGACAAGATCAGAGAACAAGGCTTTTGGATCTGTTTGACCTTTTCCACTGTTTCATACGGCAAACAGCTCTAAGTGGTCCATGAACTGAATCCCAAACTATCGACCCATGTGATTCAGCTGAACCGATCCGTGGCCTTCGTCGATCATTAAACCGCAGTTAGTATATTGTAATGAAGTGACTCGAAATTAATCCCTGACTGATCGGTAGACTCTCGACATCAAACCTCGTTTCTGGGCGTTGAAGAAAGAGGCGCGTTACCGGATGTAATTCCGTCGGCCAATGTAGATGCATGAACTTGCCTCATTGTCACATAAAGACACAAATCATCTTGACTTTCTGGTTTCCACGCTGTAGTTTCACCTCGCAACTACGTGTGAAGGCTACGTTGAATTTTACCTTTTTCTCCAGGAGGCTACGCTATTCGGTTTTGATAAATTTCGGCGCATCGTTTCCTGTTTCCAACAAAATGCATTTCCAGCCCTCGACAACGCTGAGAGAATTGTTCGTCGTAATTCACAGTTTCAGTACTTTGTGCTCTGATACATCCTCGGAGATAGTGACAGTCACCGGTGACTAACCTACGAGGTGGTGCGACGACCGGGCAAAGGTTCAGCTACCTGAGCTCAAATTGGCATCGATGAACAAAGGGGCTCGAGACTTCGGCCAATAGACCACTAGCCAGAATGAACCCACGACCTATAGTATCAAGAGCCTAGTAAGACTAGGAACTAGACTAGCTGACTGAAGTAAGGACCTGTCCAGCCATTTTCAGTGACCAGAGGGTATCTACCGATGGGGATCTCGGCTTGAACTAGCACCATGGCACTCTTTGCGCAGATCCCCGACCTGCCTCCCCCTCAAATTAAGTGGTGGTGTATTCTAGCCGTTCATTGAATCCATTAAAAAAAGGTCATGATACTTGGTATGAGACGGCTAAACGCCCTAGATAATCGAGAGACCCGGTCTACATGCTTCAACTTCTCCTACAGTTCTGTTGCCTTGTCCTTCTCGTCACTGATACCAGCATACTACCCATGAGTATCCGGCAACTATTTTTAGACCAACGAGGAAGTCGATTGACACGATTCCCTCTGATTACCAGAACATTAACAAAATAATCGCTTCATTTCCATTACACCACGCGGGTAGTTTACGATACTACGGGTGTTAGGAAACCAGCAGCACAACCGCTACCAACGCCACCATCTATTCTGGAAAAAATAAACAACAATGCCTCCAATGTTGTGCTTTAGTTAGCACGAGGAATTGAAGTCCGCATAGACGCTAAATCTTCCTGAAGCTGTGAAGTAAAGCAGACGGTAGTTACTTTACTCCCGGGGTACTATCGCAAGGAAGCAGGTTATCTTCACGAGGCTTTGGAAAACACAGATGACCTGCATATCATTGGGGAGATTTGCTATATTAACACTATCTATGTCCTTGCATTACAAAAAGTCCAGCTGTGGGTGATTCGATCATGATAAAAAAAATCAGTACTAAGTTACAACAGGTTTTTTAAAATTCGCAAGATCTCCCCACTTGAAGAAGCCAAAGGTCATAAGGAAAGCAAATCTCTCTATTTGGAGGACAAGTGAGTGTTGTGTACCAAGTCGGAGCCTGACACACGACTCATTTTACGCCTATACGGCGACTTCGGGAAAGCGATGACAAACAGATATAGTATATTATCACCCTTGCACCGTGGATGTCTTCTTCATGGTCTCAAACTAAGGAATCATATCATGGGATCTCTGCTGTGCGAGGGTAGGATTTGGGTACTATCCTTCAAAGCTCACCAATCAGTGGCCAGAGGGACATGTTGTCTAACGCTGCGGAGATTTTTTTCTGCTCGCCTTTCTTTAGTTTCTAAGAGAGTTAATGGTCCCTTGGTGACGGATGTTCACAATAAGACCGTTCGCTAGCTCCTTGCTCAAGGCTGGATTTCATACTCTCACCCACGACTATTTATTTCTAATACACAATGCGGTGAACCTACAATCAGAACGTCAGCATCCTTTGCATATTTCATTTTGAATATGTTATATAGTGTAAAGCCAAGAGATACCGATCCCTAAGTCACATCGTTCTCGATATTTCACCCGCGCTAATGCCTTGGCAATGGGGCCAGAAATAAGAGAGGGTAAAACGGTGAAGTTGGTGCTGGGTTTGCAATTTCGCTGTACGAATTGCGGGTGTTTAACTTACCCGGAATATTACCACCGAGACGTACACCTGGACATTGTGATCTGATCACGTGACTCATATCACAATCTGCCAAGTCCCAACCTCCCCTTTTTCTTTTCACCCTTTCAGTCTTGATTTCATCTCCTTTTTCAACATCTATGCTTCTAGAGTGAGTGTCTGCTTCCTGCCGCCTCGCCGCCAGTCCTGCCATCCCTGTGTTTTCATAGGACTCTCCGACTCCGTTCGGATTGGGCATGCACTCGTGACCAGGCCGCAAGAGCTCCTTTTCCATTCTACCTCCCTATATAATTGTCTTATCCTTCCCTCAAACATCACCGTTTGTTAAGGAAGTATTCGCTCACTGCCGCTCTCGCCGCCAGTCCTGCCATTCCTGTGTTCTCATAGGACTCTCCGACTCAGTTCGGATTGGGCACGCACTCGTGACCAGGCCGCAAGAGCTCCTTTTCCATTCTACCTCCCTATATAATTGTCTTATCCTTCCCTCAAACATCACCATTTGTTAAGGAAGTATTCGCTCACTGCCGCTCTCGCCGCCAGTCCTGCCATTCCTGTGTTCTCATAGGACTCTCCGACTCAGTTCGGATTGGGCACGCACTCGTGACCAGACCGCAAGAGCTTTTACGACTTTTTACTGTCATTTTTTATCACTTATATTGTTCCATTATCACACGAGCCAGGGCTGCTCAACACTTCCCCGAAGCCCGGGAGGGAGGGCTACTCGTTGTATCGAGGGTACCTTTCATGCTCAGTAAATTCTGCAACAATACAATGGCTACCGCACCGTCAAAACCGTCCTCAGTCTCGAAGAGGGCAGTTATTGTCTCCATAAATGATCTTGAAGTTCTTCGCTTTGGTCGCTTTCGTCTTGCATACAATGATCATACTAACAGAGGATCCATATCCCTGACGTTCGAGGCAAACATCGCTAATTTGAGCGGTAGATCACAACTGGTCTTGAGGATTCCTCCAGAATCAGTTCAAGAATGCACATTAGCCATGCCAAGCAATGTCAGTCTCTTCTCAAATGATTGGATTAATTTACTTCCCGCATGGGTTCCAACTATCAAGGACGTGATAACACTGAGTCTAACACTTAGTACACCTGGCACTGTTCGTTGTCCGCCTGGGATAGAGCATCTATATCCAGCTGATCCGCTAGACTTGAATTTCGATATATTCGCAAAGATTTGTAAATCCAGGTCTTTGAACATCCATTTCTCTACACGACAATTCGAGGAAAGCGGAGTTGCCCAGCTCGAAGCTTTCTCTCTTGCCTTACAAAAAAAGTGTGTTCAGGAAGACCCTTTTGACTATGCGCGCCAGAACGTGGTCGAGAGAGATTGGCGTGCCTTTGGTCTCTTTCTCGAACCACCCCCCTACACCAACGGGCCTACATCCAACCAAGGGCAGCAATCAGGTCCACCTTTGTACTATGAGGGATCCAGTTCCACGACAGTGGGAAGAAAACGCTACAGAGGTATTTTTCCCCCATTGTCTTCTATACCCCGACCTTCATCAGCTCATCAACCTTATTGAGACCAAGGGTCAATTTCCCTTAACGGATCTGATTCCGATGAGAGACAAAAGAGACCGCGTTTCACATCCCCATCACCATTCGGCTGTCCTACGGAAGTTAACACGCCGAGTACTCAAACACCGCGCCTTGCATTTCCATCGCCCGGCTCACCTACCGAAGCGAACACTCCGAGTATACTCTCGCTTTCACCGTCCTCAATTCGTCCAACTCAATTTACGCATACTTCTCCCTCCGATCGCATAGACCGCGAGAGTCTTGAGCGTATTGCGCAAAGGCTCTGCGGTGTTTCTGATAATTTAATCCGCGAAGTGTTGATCCAATCTGGACACCGACATCTGCTGGCTTCACCGGGAGGCACAGCAATCGACTCGCGGTCTGAGTCTAGGAATAGTGGCTCTGCCAAGGCCAAGTGCCGTCTCCGCCACTATATCCGACAGTATGTTGATGTCATGATTGATACTCGCATTATGCCATATATCGGCAAGACCGTCAATACTGCTGTTTCTGAGGCTACAGACCAGATTCTTGATTTCGGAAAAACGAAAGAAGCTGAAGTATCTGAGGTGATCGATGATGGCATTACTGAGATACAGATTAAGGCTGATGAGTGCTCACGGGAAATAGAAGACATAACAGAAAAATGTACGTATAGAATCGAAGACCAAGGAGAACAGTGCATGAATGATATCGAAGAGAAGGGAATCGAGGTTGAAATGGCTGTGGACGAAAAGGTAGCGAAGTTTAAGCGCTGGTTGAGTGCTCCTGCGCAATCCTTGATTAATGAGCTCCATACTAATTCTAGACGCAGTTCTATCTAGGTATGGTTCAATTAATTGTCTACTTACCATGTACTGACACTTACAGTTGGGCGACACGCATATCCCATAAGAGAATTTGGGTAATCTGGTTCATTGCATTATGACTTCCTTGAGATTGTTGGGGCCTCATCAGAGTCTGTGTCGATGGTGGCTGTGTTTATGTTTCGCCGCCCTTGTGGCGCTCTACTCCAGATTTCTGCGGATGATTCAGCGAGATCCAGTGTCCATCTGAAGGTGCTAGTGTGTGGCAGGATATTCATAGCCTGCTGCGAGAACATCTGATGATTGTTAGTCACAATGACCCTTGCCGGAACATCGATTTGTTCGAGCTCCGAGTGAGAACGTGGAGCGCACATGCACTTATACATGGCACCTCACTCTTTTTCGTACCAATGCTGCTGACATTGCAAGCATCTAATTCAAGGTTGGAACTATGGCATCTGGAATCTATCTGACCCGAACCATTAGCGAGGTAAATAATCCAGAGCCAGGTTTTATGAGGCTTAGATTTTCCCTAGCACTTCTTTCCCCATTCCAAAGCAAGCAAAGTATTGTCATGGATTCTCAGCCTGACTGGCCTGCAATCGCGTCCATCCTCGTGTCAGATTCCTGATCTCGGTAAAGGGCCATATAGGGCATCTCATTATATTTCTATTTTGAGGAGTGCAAAAAGAGCCAAACCGGTCCGCTTCTTAATCGTACTGCGGGAAACAGACGGACACTGCACGCAATGCTGGTTCTGTACGTTACAGCTGCTTGTCTTAAAGGTGGTTATGAATCAGGAATCCATGTCTCACAATACCGTCACTAAATCCACGCGAGGTATCTAAATACGGAAGGTATAAGACGACTTCTGGGGGACAAAAGAGTGGACCCGAACATAAAGGACTGTCGCAATTGCACACCCCTTCTTCTGGCCGCGGCTATCGGAGTTGCGGAAGTCGTGAAATTGTTCCTCGGAAGTGCCAAGGTGGATGTGAACTTGATCGGCGGCCTAAATAATGAGACTCCATTGAACCTAGCCGTGCGACAGGCTCCAGAGGATGCGACAGCATGCTTACTTACGTATGATCAAGTGAACGTGAACGTGTACTCACGGGACCTCCATAATCGAACGCCTCTCCACCTGGCTGCGCGACGTGGGGATCATCGCTCGTAGAACTTCTCCTCGAGCACAAGGAAGTGAACGTGAATTTGACGGATGACAGCGGTGAGATACCGTTATATTCAGCAATCTATTGGAATCACACAACAATTGTGAGACTGCTTCTCGAGCATAAGGCAGTAAACGTGAATTTGACGGATGCTAGCGGTAAAACACCATTTCATTCAGCAATCTGTCGGAATCATACAGCAATTGCGAAAGTGCTCCTCGAGGACAGAAGGGTGATCGTGGATACTGAGACCTTGGAAGGGTGTTCAACATTGGAAGCAGCTACATGTCAAGGTGCGGGAATGTTGGAGCTTTTTCTCCGCAAGGCGGAATCGGGCGTGGACAGTAGAAAAGTAGCTTTCCACGATGCTCTGAAGGCTGCTGTCATGCGGAATGATCTGGCAGCCGTGTGGTTACTTCTTCAGGCGGCGAAACCTAGGTGTCCTTGCTTGGTAATCTCTTAACATAGTAGTCCAAGCGATGAAATTCACTCAATTGAACCGACAAACCACAATTCAACTAAGTCTCGATCCCCTATTACTTCACGCATGAATAATTGATTAAGAGGTTATACTGCATTATGTTTTCCAAGACTCGAATTACACCAACCGCTGGCTGGTCCTGATCAGAATTGATTCGTTATGGTTATTTTGTCACGAGCACGGGCGGTCTTGAGACCGCAGGTAAACGCTTGTTGAAATTCAGCTGGTTCGTGAAAATACGGAAGACCACGTCGGATTTAAAGTCTTACGTGCTTTTGTAAGATTTAATGCCTGGTGGCTAGAGCACATACTATCTCATTGGCCATTATTACATAGGTAAATCTCTGGTCTCGGTACACAGCCTCCCTCGAGCGTCGGCAACGTAGAGCGGGAAGGCAGTAGTTGACTTCAAAGCCTTGTTTCACTGATGAGCTTCATCAATCAGCCCGAGCGGGGGCAGGGCATCTTCTCTAAGCTCATAGAATTCATCAAAGCCGCTTTACCTGTTCGCGACGGAAGGAATCCTCTGTTCGCTTTCACGCACCATCCGCTCCTCGTCTAGCTGTCAACTACGTTTCCTAGACTAGTGCTTGGAGATCATGAGATCGTTGCCATGCGAGTGTAGGACTGTGTAATTTTTTTCAATGTTCGCATATAAGTAGGCAGCGCGAAGCTGTCTATCAATCGCTCTTCATCGATTTACTGGCTTTGAAGTACCACATATCAAGCCCAGCAACGCCTGGCTGCTTTCGATAATCCTATTACCTTGACCACCTATCAGCAACTTCGCGACTGAAACCATCCACCATGTCCTTAGTCCGTTTGCCTACAGAGCTCATGTACATGATTGTCGCTTCTCTTGACTTTCAGCATGATATTAATTCCCTGGCCCGGAGCTCTCGGCAATTGTATGCCATCCTCAACCCATACTTATACCGACGTGACTCAACACAGCATGAAAGTTGGGCTTTGCTTTGGGCTGCGAAGCACGGGAAAGAGGCTACTTCTCGCAAATGCATTGAGCACGGGGGCGATATCGAAACAACAAGCGATGAAAGAATGACGCCTCTATGCTTGGCCGCCGAGCATGGGCATGCCGATGTCGTGAGATTATTACTTGAAGCAGACGCAAAAGTCAATCGAAAATCAAGGGGTTTACAGCTGACAGCCCTGCATATGGCTTCGCGCTCCGATAAGGCAGATGTGGTGGACTTCTTGCTCGGACAGAAGCATGTGCACGTGAACCCTACAGACATCCGGGGTAATACGCCCCTTCATGTCGCTTGCATTTACGGTTCTACAGCAGTTGCGATCCGGCTGCTCGAAGACAAAAGAACAAAAGTGAATGCTCTCAATGATTACGCAGTAACTCCTCTATTCCACGCCGTCTATCAACACAAGGCAGCAATGGTGACATTACTGATCGGACACCCGAAAATTGATGTCAATCGGAAAAATGGGCAGTCGGGAGACACTGCATTACATCTCGCTGTGTTGTGCTGCTTGGAGGGGATAGCAAGCATTTTGCTTGAGCATGAGCAGGTAGATGTGAACTCGCGAGATCGAGCAAATCGAACGCCACTTCACATAGCTGCGCAATCGCGCAGTGCGGCGGTTGTTGAACTTCTGCTCAAGAACCACAAAATTGATTTAAATGCTCTAGATTTGAATGCTCAAAGTCCGTTGGACTTAGCTCGAGAATCTGAGAGTAGGAATATCGTCGACATGTTGTTGCAAGCGAAGTGTAAATCTTCCTCGAAGCTTCACTCATTGTTCAAAAATACATAGAGATTCAGCTTTGGAAGCTACGGGACAAAGCGTCTTCTTTCGTTCATCACTGTCCGTGAGCAAATCCTTTTAGGCTTGCGGACCTACTTTTATGCCTTCAGTGAACAGGAAACCAAAGATACGATTACTTCCATATTAGTGCTGCCGGCATCGCAAGCCTCTTAATCAAATTCTTGAAGTTATAACTGCGGCATGTTAATTGACTTTAATTATTAGCGAGTCTAGTAATCGAAAGCCGAGCTTTAAAAGGTCGAGACTTTACGAGCACTTCTTCCGAATTCCCAAGCAAGCAAAGTATTTTCATGAGCTCTCAGTCCCAGCCTGACTAGGCTGCCATCGCTTCCGTTCTAGGGCCTGATCCCTGATCTCTGTAGGGGCAATAAAGGACTTTTCACCATCTGTCAAATCCAGTAGCACAAATCAAGAGTTCCGCTTCTTTACCATACTACGGCGCACAAAAGGGCACTCTACGCGATACTGGTACTGTTTGTTACCGCTACCTGTCCTAAAAGTGGTTATAAATCAGGAATCGTAAAGCCTTAACACCCTCGTTGCCAAATCCCGGCGAGCTAGGTTGATAGATTAGTGGTTTCGGGTAGAAGGTTGTAGGCTGGTGGTACCTGGCAGTAAGGCAATTCTACAACGCACTGGAAAATAAGGGAAAGTTTTTGGGCGTAGTGGGCACCTCAACACTCGGCGGCTTGAGACTTGTTCGCATCTCATATATATTTTCAAGCCTTTTGTGTTTGAGGTACATAGTACAAGATTATAATAGTCATATCCTCTGGAATAGAATGATATATCCATGCTTCTTGGTTCGATTTTCAACCAAGCAACAAGCTTTCTATTACAAGTTCAATTGAATAGTACATGAAAGAAAGGCGTCCGCGTTTTCACCTGGAACAATAGATTCGGGCCGCCTAGAAGGGTCACAAGTTGCATGTTGAAAAGAAAGGCATGATATTGGTGAGGCATAATTAACAATCGCTGCCCTCAGTCAAAATAGAGTAGGGGCAAAGTAAGATCATGCACAGAGGCTGCAAAAGAGAGAAAATTGAAAAATACAGAAGCCTCAATTTGAGGCCTCTTTAGAATGATCATATACATTAGTCTTCCTGTATTTAAGAGTGCAAGGTACCCATTTCCATGGCTGGTAGTTCTTGAACTCACCTGTAGTCAAGTAAATGACAACACATTGCCATGCCGATAATCAGTCTCAAGTTTATCTGTATTGCGCTTGCAGTGCTTGGGGTAAGTTCAAGGCTCAGAATACATTGACTATACTGAACAGATTCAGGTGGCTAGCGCATTAGAATACAAATATTACAAAGCAGAGAGTGGCGAGACGGTAGGTCTCTATGGGTTCGCGGACTGAAAATCATGTCTGAATTCTACGTCTAGTTTCTGGATGTTCCAATATATCCTATCAATAGCACTTCTTCAAGAGACAAAAGAAGCACGGTATAGGCTCAACATGATGTATGATCAACTGATGCTTCCCAGCTGAAAATATCTCCAGGCGAACGATCCGAGATGTTCTCTCAGTTTTGGATTGGCATATGTGACTGATACCAAGGCCAATATAAGGCATCTAGACGATGTGCAGAACGTGACTTGTTCCGTTCCGGCAGATAGCTGTGCTAGAGTATCAAACCAGAATCTTTCGTCTATATTTTTCTGCAACTACGTCAGTACAAGACATGAGCCTTGAGAGAAATAGCAAAAGCTAAACAAAGGACTTACCAGGAATCTACTGCGATCAGCACCAAATGTGGAACTTTGATAGAGCCCGCCAAAAGCATTCAGAGCGCATGCAGGCTCCGCGACTTCTACGATTACGGATATCTTGAACAGACCCTAACACAAGGCACTGTCGAGTATAAGTATACGATAGCTCTGGGTGGCGAATTCCCCAACTCGGCCTAGATCTCCCCTTTCTGCTGTTATGGTGCATCAGCTTTGTCGACATGAACGAGTTTTGCCAGCGTGGATTGGCGGTTGACAGAAGGATGAACGCGGTTGACGAGTTCATGTATAGAGAGGATCTTGATTTCACGAAAGTTTTACTCAATTGTGGAGGACCTGAAATGATATATGCATTTTTCAACCCTTTATGAATCAAGCACTGCATGCATTTGCCCCTATTTAGCTTGTGTATACAGTATGGATGGATGGATGATTTCATTTACCCTGACCCCTTGCAAAGGCGATGTGCAGGCTACTGCCACTATTTGCATCTCTTTAATAAACATGGATCCTGTACCACTTCTTAAACGAACTTAGAGCCCCCTCGGCGTCTATTGTGGCCTTTGCACCGTTAATGTTGATTAGCTGCCCTTTTATGGCGCGCGGCTTCGAAATCGCTGGGATACTTCCGCAAAGTCCAAGACAGCCTCGACTGTCTTAGAAGCGTTACTGATTCTACTTCCACCCTCCTGACCTTGTCCTCCCAGCAGGGTTGACTATTTTTGCTCGTTTGTGGCCGGCTCTCTGCTGTTGCAGTACAATTCTATTGATGAGATTGATCGCATAAAGGATACCGATTAGTTCGGCGGCATGTACCGACCATTGGTCCATGGGTCCGACCTGTATCTGTAAGCTCCCAGTCATCACCGATTCGTCGTCGAGGACCGCGGCTGCGGCACTCAGGTAGCCTTGACGCCCCGAGGCGTCGGAGTGCACTACGAGGTCCGACTCGGACCGTGCTGTCTCCGCCTGCTCTGTCGCTATTTCTCTATTGGTCTCGATGTCGATCTTGGAAAAGGCTTCAGTCCGCCACGGTGGTTGTGGGGCTGGATCAATCATTTTCAGGTCGTCGAGCCTTTCTAGGTTCATGGTCTTCAGAGCCTCCGCGAGCGGGAACCGAGCGTATGATCCACCTCTTTCCCAGTGGTTTAATTCAGTGGTTTCATGATCCAGCCGAATTTATACTCTCTACTATTCAATATACAATAGAGAAGTCTCGTCAAGAAGAAAGACCGAGACAACACTTTGTTGAGAATGTGCATGACAGGTTCAAGACATAGCAGGATCGAACACAAGTGCTTCGGCGGTCAGACAAGATTATCTTCCTATCAACTGTCCACCACAACGCATTAGTGTGATTTGAAGATCGGACCTGGTATAAAGGTTTCTCGGCGACCGCGGAATTCCGCCAAGCGAACGCTTACCGGATGTACGGGACGGTAGCACATCATCACATACGCTCTCGTACTCGCAACTTTTACGTAGTCTGTGATAGTAATACCCTGAATTTACGGCTGATTGACAGTAACAAGTTCCGAGGGTAATTTTGGCAGATTAAGAGATATCCTGTCACGTAATCAAGTAGCTTGATTTTGTGTTTATCATCTCTTGTTTGTATGTTGACTCCCAAGTACAAAACTTGCGCACTGGCCTTGACAGTAAGATTCTAGCTATCTGTGTTATGCCCATACCAGCCAAATAGCCAGCAAAAGACTACCATGACAGGCGGGCACCTTCTGAGAGTTGTAATACAACTATTACCCCCAAGGTTCAAACGGCCCGTCCAGCCTCCAGTGGAAAATGTTTGAACCGGTGCTCTCACGTTCAACCGGCATATATTTATGGAGGGCCAGTATTAACTTCAGAAGCTTTTCTGATGATCCGCACATTTTCAGTTGATGAAAAACTACTGGCAGCTTCACTGACCGCGTGTTTCAACAGTGCATTCCACTCGTTATCCGTGAAGTAATACGAGTTTCAATAGTCATTTAAGTCATCCGACAGCCTTCTCCAGGAGAGAATATCGTTTCTGATGCAATTTCCCAGTTAACCCTTGTGTTTACTAGTCTGTCCGCATAGACTGAAAACAAAATTACCATGAATCTGATTGCTGTTAGCATTATCTTTTTGCTCGGTTATGCGGCCGTTGGCACCGAGATTTCCAGGCATGTTCGTGATGCTGCATCTTCAGTGACTGAGCACGCTTGCGGTATCGTTCAAAGTAGCATGGAGTATACGCAGCTCACCATCTCTTTCGCGACAAATGGGACAGAGGTGAAAAGCTCATGGTCTACAGAGCTTACCACCGATTGTGTCACATTCCTGAATAGTGCCCTAGAGCCGTGTAAGTTTTCGACTAGGTTGCATGGTAGAGTAGGGTTTAATCCACACAGGCCAGGGCCCATCTGCTCTGTATTGCGAATCGCTCAATCTCATCTTCGATCAATCTTCATCGGGGGTGACAGGAACCACATACTCCGTTCAATCACTTTTATCCTCTGCGGGCGACCACAAAACTAGCTTTAGCTTCGAACACTCACAAGCTCCCCGCTCGACTGACGCCATATCGTCCACAGGGAGATGGCCACAGCCAATTTTTCCGAAAACTAGTGTGGCGGAGGGGACGAAGCCAGTCTCAGTGGAATCAATCCAACATTCTCTCTCAGAGGCAAGGTCTACGAATGACGCTCAATCGCTCCCCACACAGTGGTCTGAAAAGAATTCCCAGTGGTCTGAAACTACCTCTCAATTGATCAACACCGAAACAACCCAAGTTATACCATCGAATCGTCAAGTTACAACCCGTGCATTATCAACAGCAAACCCATCGTCTTCATCCGCTTTGTCAACTTTGTGTGTTGTGAAGTAAGTCCCGTCAACACCTTCGTGGCATAGTCAACCAAGAGTGTGTTGTAGTAGAAGCGATCCTAACACGTCTAACTGCAGAGAAAGTGATCTAAGTCAAGGAATATGCTACTGCTTGGATCAGACCATCGTGGAATATTCAAGTTCGAGATGCACGGTTCTCGCTGACTGACTGTAAATGTGATTGATCTGCTCACGCAGCTCTTTAAACGTGCCATCAGGCACACTTGTGTTTAGAAGATAGGCCCAATGAGTAGATTTATTCTACATCTAGGGAACTCCAGTATTGATCGCGGTATCTACGCATTTTTATTGACTTAAACCTTGCAGCCAATCTACTTGTTGTTACGGATCAGCTTTTGCACAGCTCTTAAAGGCTAGAGCTACCGAGTAACTAGAGCTACCGAATAAATCTACACGCTAAACATAGATCAAAAAAGTATATCATTGTGGCTTGTGAAAAGGGATCCCTAGTCATCCTCGCTCGGCTTCCTAGAGATTTTATTATTTAAACGGCCTCAATGCCACTTGCTTTCCTTGGTTTGCGTCACACATTTAAACCAAACTCGATTGTATAGAACCTTACAGAGTCTATTTGCACTGTGGTAGCAATATCAATGACCAAGTGACTGCTTTTGTCAATCATTCTTCCGTGTTTCGTCAAAGATAACAGAAAGTGAGTCATCCTTCGAGCTTAAACCATTCAAGGCTCTAAACTCGATCATCCAGTGTCTACACCGGATCAGACGAAGGAAACTCTGCTGGAGAAACCCGACTCACGCGCTCTTCCTACAAAGGAAACATGTGGGAGTTCTCATACAAAATTCAAAGACAAAGTCGAAACAAGTTCTTCGAACACATTGGATGGGGGGAAGTCTCAGAACTACAATCACGCCGAGATTCAAAAATGGCTACGACACAAGAGCTTTTACGATCGTGGAAGAGGCTATGAGTTTGAAGATCTGACGGATCTGGCCGAATTCAACCCAACTGGCATCACCGATTCGAACTTACCAAAGTCCCGCAAGAGAGCTTATTCCTCTTCATCCACAGCTATTTCTGAGGCGCCTACTATACTTATTTCTGAAGAAATTCCAGGAAATTCGGTAAATGGCGAAAGAGATATAGTGCTACGCGCATCGAACGACAATGCGCGTTCGGGGAAGGAAATCTCACTTCCAATTCGGAACCTTTCGGTTCGAACTAAGGATGACCTGAAACCTCAGAAACGATCGAAGATAGAAGATGTTTGTGCCCTATATTGACGCTTATTCAGGGGTCTTGAAAGATAATGTCAATTGACGAGTGACTTTTGAACTCGTTTGTTATGATGGGCTTCTAGAGCCTGTAGAGAAGCCATGATTCATTTGTTGAACTAATGATCACCGGAAGATCAAACACGCGGTTATGAATTCAAATAAAACCTGGCTGAGATGTCAGAAGGACTTCAAACTATCATTTAAGAGGAATAAAGGAATATTATATATATAGACTTCAAAAAACAGGATATTCGTCGATACCGATTCTCGTGAGTATCGTCAAGCGAAGTCATTATGCAACTATAGCATGATATTTACCCGATCCTTATGACGGTTGCGGGCCAAGCTTAACTTTCCGAGGTGGGCTGTTACCCAAAGTCGTATTCAAATAACGAACGGGACTAATGGGCTTCGCTCATCGATACCTGGAAAAGTCGAAAAGGGCTTATCTTCCTGGCAGACTGGTCGAAGCTAGTACGGATAACTATTTATTACTAGGGCCCGCCGTACCAATTCATCCAACACACTTTCCTTACGAAGAAGCATATTTGGCTTGCACACCATGGACAGAACTACATTTCCTCCCTCTACTAAAAATACCAGGCACGTTCTGCAATCAAACGCACCGATCGTCTTCGCAACAGCTCACAGCGCGAATCTATGCTCCCTTGCTCTGCCCGATAGTCTCACGAGGGAATTATCAATTCATCTTGATACGTACCATTCCGTGTTAAACGCAGGCTCTAGTATTGCTATTGGCCGCGGACAGTGTCTTTTTGGCACTCGTGTCGGCGAGATCATAGCAACTCTCTTCACCACAAAGGAGCCGACGGTTGTCAGAGGACCTCAAATCAGCTGGACATCACTCATACTTGCAGCTGGCCCCAATTACGATGGTCCAAACCAGCTGACCATCGGTGATTCCGACCTTGATCTTTCCCAAGATGACCTTGACTTGATTAGGTCTGGTCGACCATGGCGATTTCTCTCTCCATGGCCAGGAAAAGATGACTGCCAAAGGGAGCTGCGTGCGATCCACGTGACCCGCGAAGAACTCCGCAACACGAAGGAGAAAATAGAAAAAGGTCCGTTCAGAGCTCGGGGAGCTATTTTCGCTTACTAATAGAATGGAGTAGTCCTGCAAGATATGTCTGCGCTAGACCAGAAACTGTCAGTTTGGCATAATGTTGTCGCCCAACTCCACAATCCTCAGGAATGTGGGCCGCCGCAATCTCAACTAGGGATTGTTGATGGCTCTATTGGGACTGCGGACAATATTGAGGTCTCTGAAGATTCAGGTCGAGGAGAAAGTGGCCCAGGAGAATCTTGTTGTGATGGCTTGAATAGTGATCGAAAGCTGGATACCTACTCATCTGATCAAGCGATTTCATTGCAGCCGGCAAATCTTGATCAGCAAGATCTACCCAGTGTAGCATTCCCGGATGAAAGCAGGAGCAGGAGAGATTCCAAGGATGAGTCACAAGTGACTGATATCCGCGAACCTCCAAAGCATACCGAGCCTTTCATTCAATGCCTTAGCGAGTGAGTCTGTCTGCGTCAATGATATGCCAAAAGTTTTACTGACAAAGAGGAAGTGTGTTGGATGATGCACAATTCAAAAAGGCGATTAGCTGGTGCGAGGACGGTCGGTCGTTTACAATACCAGCGGCAGATGATTTTCCTTCCGAGTTACTGGCCAGATTCAAGACACAGAGTTGTCAATCGTTGATTCGAAGATTATATTACTTTGGCTTTCATGCATCAGGCGGTGTTTTTTGGCACAGGCAATTTGTTCGAGGTCAAGCCAGCACGATTTGTCCTACTCGTCGTCGCAGCACTTCGCCCACCCCTGTCATCAATACTCGACGAGGACCTCGGTATAAGATCATTAAGGGAAGCCGTAGAAGCTATTGATGCTTCCGCTTATCGACGCACTTAATAGTGGTTTCATTGAAACCCCATACTCTGCAATTTAGGGGGGCCTATTTGAGTTCAACGGAGGGGCAGCCACCTTCTGGAAGCAGGTGTAGTCATGTTCATCACCGTACTGATGGCCAAAAAATGGCTTAGGCTTCGAATGTCTTCTAGTGCACTGAATCGATAAAGACTACACAAGTTCTGATGTCATTGCTATTAAAAGTTTGTACTTATGGATAGTGCTCGCAATTACGCAGCATAGCCGTAAAAAAGACTGCTTCAAAATGTTTAACGCTAGCTCAAATGATCAAAAAAGCAAAAATGTCAAGTGCCAACCAATTTTGGGCGACTAGGATGAAGTTGCTTCTGTAGCTCGATCGACTCGCCTTGAAGCGATGTGATTGTACTTCGCCTCCTTAAAATCTACTCAATTCCAACGACAACAATGAATACGCTACGTACTAATAGTGATTTCCATGCGCAAGTAATGTAATCTGCCTCTTTATAGAAAAAAAAAACAATGAGAAAAGCCTGTAAATTGATCAGCGAAACTCAGTGGCTGTGGGAGCATGTCGTGGGAAATTTAGAAGGGTATAACAGCGCTTCGTACGATGATTAACACAGAAGGCCACGTGCCGGGAGCACTGACTGCCGTCATGGTTGATGAACTCACTTCACAATCGCTCTGGTCGGAGGTACTTTTGCGTCTGACTAAGGTGCTTAATGGCAGGTCTGGATGATGCTCCATATTTAGCTCGAGCGATGGTTTAAGTAAAATATTGTTCATTGCAAAATGGAAAAATTAATCATTTCTGAGGCCGCCCGAAGTGGATATGTGCGTTGGACGGACGGGAATATCGCCACTCGAAGGCGCTGGCAATCCTTTCGGCCCGCTCCATCTTGGATTTTGAGTGGGGGCCAGGATTATGATGAGACATCAAAATCACTCGGCATTGCAACGAAGCACAAACTTAGTATCGACTAGGCTAACTGACTTGAAAAACTGATAAAGTGCTGATGCTCAGGGATACCCGAAAAGTAATGTACCTTTTTTTTGGTTAGGAAAACGAGAGGCGAATCGATGTTGTTCAACCATCAGGCTTCGATTTCTTGCGCTGAGCTAACTCTGGTCTGGATTTGTGACAATCCACTACAAAGCAGACTAGCAATCGTAATGATAAATGCCATGTTACATCATCTTACGTCAAGTGCGGTCCGATTTACAGGCCGCCGCAGTTGCGTGACCTACCCAAAGAGTTAGCCTCAACCACTCAACCCAAAGTTCTGCTTGTAAAACATATTCTGTGACCCGCATTGCCCGAAAAAATTCGGCTTGGGTGATAGTGAGCATTGGATTATCAGAGTTGTTTGGTGGAGTATTTAGCTAACTTGACTTTCGGAATCTGCGACATCGAGATACGAAGATTAAACCGAGTTGTTTTCGTGCCTCCGAGACCACTCCAATCCTACGCGGAATTATGATGCCCCCTGATTGTATCTTGTATTGCGCAGACGAAACAGGACCTGCCAGCAGCAGAAATAGTCTTGTCATCTTTAGCTTGTCGACACAAGTCCAATGAGATCTGAAGACTATCTAGGAGTTACGAATGAAGGCGTACGGCAGATTAATGCTTAGGTTCATGGTCTCAAGAACTGAGAACTCGGAAGTAATCAGACTACAGCCCCAAATCCGGCGACTTCAGTCGTTAGGCGCAATACGGAAGGCTTGAGGCGCAGCACTAGAGACGCCGGAATCTGTTCGTACGATCGATGTGGTCGAGAGAGGGTAGTCGGAAGACTGGAATGGTCGGAAGACAGTCCCTGTACGACGAGCACAGTCGGAGGAACATCAGCTGTCGCTTTTCTCAGGTGTACGACTCGGAAGCTCGTCAGAACGTAGTCTGATGCTTGCTGGAGTTCCGGTGCCCGTTAATTCGCCTTTGCAAGAACAGCGGCGGCAGATTCCGCCATTTTCTTACGGACAATCAAGTCTTTTCCAAACCTCATAAAGACGGTGAAGGTTTTATCAAAAATTGCAGCATGCACACATTTCTGAACGGGTACTTTGAGCATATCGCGATCATAGAAATGTGCACCATTTTCACGTGCATATGTGTCCGCGATACTTTGTGCCTCAATGGGATGGCTAGGATTCACAAATACTGAGTCTGTTGCGGTCCAGACTTGCTGCTTGTAAAGATAGAACGTGATCTTAACACTTTGTCTGGTTTGCCTGTCGCTGGGAAGAGAAGGAGGATTGACCGGAGAGAGATGGGATTTGGCACACAATTGGTGGTTCTTGTTGGAATTAACTTGATCACGTTCGATGTTGACGTTTTCGGGCACGGTTTTCTGGCTGGAGGGACGTAAGTCCGCTCGCTTCGACAGCCGTCTCTTGGCATCATCAACTTGTTGACCATCACTAAGTTCGAGAGCCTGTGGCGTCTCAAACCGCTCGCAATCTTGCGTACGCTTTCTTTTCAAGCTTTGCGGTGGTTGCGAGACATCAGGCGTATCATCAACCGCGGTACTCGTCCTCTCCTGGGCATCTTCTATTCGTTGGTTTTCGAGCTCTGCTGCCGACTGCGGAGTATCGAACAATCTAACCTCAGCTTTCTGCCTATCAATGGCCTCTCGTTGAGCTTGTTCCGGACCTGGTACAACGAGTGTAGCTTGGGTGATATCTGTTTCAGGGTTTTGATTGAGATTTGGCGTGACTTCGCCATCCTCATTAGTCATTGAAGAACTCCATCCATCTTCCCATGATGAGTCTTGTTGTGGAGTGAGATTAGCGGATGCCACGCTCCTGTCATCCATCTCGCATCCCTCTTCCCGTAATCTTCTCATCAGACTGGGTACATTCAAAGGAATTTTTGTCATAGGTCGGTCGGAATCGTCCAGAGTTCTGGATGTCTGTAGTTGAGCAAGCGCTTCTGCTCGGTCTCGAGATACCCGTTCTTGCTGGAGAAGCATATTAATTTCTTCTTCAAGGTGCTCCCTCTCAAGTGCTCCCTGTTCCTCTGGGAAAATCTCCGAATGGTCGACTGACTGTGACTCTGCAGGATGATGTTCCACTTCCTCTGATGCTCTATATTTTGTCTTTTCAGCCTTTGAACACTTGTCTTTTGATGAGAGCTCTAGTTGTTCAAGTGGCCTTCGACCATACTCCGGGCCTATCGAAGTGGGCCCAACTGGCTTCACCGTCAGCCCGACCGGCTCCTCCGGCTCTATTGACTCGCGTTCTATATCTTGTGAT